AAAATTATCAATTATTCATTTTAATCATTTTAATCCTTATTTACACTTTCAGTTTCTCACAGTAGAGAAACTATTCGGTATTTACCCATGTGTGTCCTATTTATTTCACTTAAGAGTATGGCCTCAATATGCATCCATTTAGCTATAAATGTCTAGTTTCTCGTTCTTTATGGCTGAGTAGTACTCCATTTTATAAAAAAAAAAACACCACATCTTCTTTATCCAGTTTCCAACTGATGGGCACTTGGGCTGCTTCCAAGCTTTAGCTGTTACAAACTGTGCCACTATAAACATGGGTTCACATATATTGCTGTGGCATGATTCTTTTAATTGTTTGGGAAAGATTCCCAGCACTGACAATGACTTCTATTTATTGAGTTCTTTCAGATGCAGCTGCTCAGAAGTGTGTGTGTTTGGGGGCGGGGGGGGGGAGACAGTAATCAAACCAGATCAGTGGACTGCTGCTAAAAACATTCAAAGTTCTTTTTGTTTTTGAGACAGGGTCTCATTATATACCCCAGGCTGGCCTCAAACTCATGGTGATCCTCCTGCCTCAGCCTCTTGAGTGCTGGGATTACAGGTGTCCACCCCCACACCTGGCCAAAGTTTCTTTTCTTTTTTTTCCAGTCCTGGGGATTGAACTCAGAACCTTGTGCTTGTGAGGCAGGCGCGGTGCCACTGAGCTACATCCCCAGCCAAAGTTTATTTTTAACCCAGGCTGTCACATATCTTACCCACAGACCAAATTTTGGCTTGGGTTAAAATGACTGCTGCAGTTTGAATTACTATTCACTTGGGCTTCCATCATCTTGTTTTCATGTTTCCCTTTTCTCTACCAATAATTTGTAATTATTTCCCTTTTCTTGTTTATTCTTTTTTTCGTACCAGAGATTGAACTCAGTACCTTGTGCTTGCAAGGCAGGTGGTGGCACCACTGTGCTAAATCCCTGGCCCTTTTCTTTTTTATTCTTAATACATTAATGTACTTCATCTAATTCTCCACTCTTGCTCTACACTAATTTCTACATCTGAATATAATGGTGATGGAACATACCATCTTTGAATTGGGTCTTGGAACTAATTTTCTCTTTTAATTTATTGGTCCTTTTTTAGCATGTCTCCCATCCCATAAGACTTACTAAAACTGAGTTTATTCTGATTCTCCTCAGTTCTTTCTTCCCCATTTCTATTGAGTAACATGACCTCTTCTACCAGTTTAGTCTTTTTTGTTTGTTTTTTAGCTCTACACACACACACACACACACACACACACACACACACACACACACACTCACTCACTGGGGATTGAACCTAGAACCTAGAGCCTTCTCACTGAGCTCCATCCCCAACCCTTTCTTTTGAGACAGAGTCTCAGGCTAGGCTTGAGTTTGTGATCCTCCTCCCTCTGCCTCCTGGAGTGCTGGAACTACAGATGTGCCACTAGCTTAAAGTTTTAGAAGCATTTCTTACACTGTTTTATGAATTACTTGGGGACTTTCATTCATAGAGAGTCATATTTGCCTGCTTTTATTATTAATCCCAATATTTTACTATGCCTCTTGATTCCTTTGCTCACACTGTATATCAGAGTAGTCAATTGATGTTTCTATAGCTATAGCTAATCTTAGATTTTTAATATTTCATACTTCAGTTGTCTTATATATGGATTTTCTAGAACACTCCTCTTCTGATATTATTCTGTTAATCTTTTAAAAAATCTTCACCAAGCCTGGTGTAGTGTTATATGCCTGTAATTCTAGCTACTTGGGTGGTTAAATTAGCAAGAAGATTACAGGTTCAAGGGCAGGCTAGGCAACTCAATGAAACCTTGTCCCAAAATAAATAATATAAAAGGCTGGGGTTCTAGTTCAGTGGTAGAGCACTTACCTAGTATATATGAGGCCCTGGCTTCATTCCTCAATACTGCAAAAAATAACTCAAAAAAGTGACTAAATTTCAGTTACAAATTTGTGTACTGTATGATATCAATCTTTAAAATTATAAAGGGAGTAGAAGGACAAACACTTCATTGTTAATAGTGCTATCTTCAGGGGCAGAATTACAATTTTTTTTAATACTTCTCTGTTTTTTCCCTTAATATGTGTGTATTTTATAACTGAATATAATTTCAGTGTTTCCCTGTTGGTCTGTTTCATCAAGTGCAAATTCTCCTGTTGGGCATGAAAGATCCACTGGCATCTTTAATCTTCCCTCCTTCCCCACCTCAAGTCTCACAAGTGTAGCCATTCTCCAAGTGTGATCTCTGGACCAGTAGCATCAACACCGCTCACACCTTAAATATTAAACCAGCCCAGACAGGTTGAAACAGAAACTTTGCGGGTGGAGCTCACCAAAAAGTGGTTTAACAAGTCTTCCTCTGGATTCTGATGCATGTTAGGGTTTCAGAACTACCTCACTAACCTATCTTCTCTTCATCCCTACAGTCATGTCCTGTTCTGGGTAACAGTATGCACACTATGCTTCCCAGGTCCTTCTGTGCATTGAAATCACCTGCTTCCCTTAACAAAGACTGACCCGGCTCCCATCCCCAGACATTCTGTTCCTATAGGTAAAGGGTTCAACCTGGCCATTGGACTTTTTAATGCCACTCAAGTGATTCTATGTGCAGCAAGGATTGGGAACCATTGCCTTTCACCTAATCAGTCCTTCCCAGGGAATTTCTCACTTCTTAACTGTATAGTACCCTCTGCTCTTTTCTTTCCTGAAAACTTGTTTAACCCATTCTTGGAATCCTCCTTCAGTTACCCTCACCCTAGTCTATCAGATCCCACTGTTTTATGATCTGTGGGATATCTATTTATTTATTTTTGATCCTGGGGATTGAACACAGGCCCTCCTGTACTAGGCAAGTGCTCTGCCACTGAGCTACATTTCCATTCCTTTTTAAAATTTTGAAATTTGAGTCAAGGTCTCGCTAAGTTGCCTGTGCTGGCCTTGAACTTGTGACTCTCCTGCCTTGCCCTCCCAGAAGCTCCAATTACATGTGTGCAGCACCAGGCCTGGCTCCTTGGGTTGTTTATGTAAACTGCTTTCTACCTAGTCCCAAGTGTCATTCATAAGTTCATGTTCCCAGATGGCAGGAAGCTCTACTTTTTTTTTTTTTCTTTTAATCCCTCCTGTCTCTGCTTCCTGCTCAGTATTTCCAAGTCTGGGAGAAAGTTGTAACTTCTGTAGAATATTCGAATGGTAACTGTTGATTCCTTAGATTCTTTTCATTGTGTTTTACGATATCTTTAATTTTATTTTATTTCAGCTGCAGCAGATAAACTTCCTGAGCCTAATGCAAATTGTAGGACCATCCTTTGCTAACCTTCCAGACACACACCACCCTCTCCAGCAGGCTCAGTCTGTATATCTGGGGGGAAGCCAAATATCGAACCCCACAAGAGGGAGTGGTGATGTTGAAATCAACAACAGTAGAAATCTTAAGGAGAGATTTTTCATTAAACCACAGTCCATGGGAGAAGGCACCAGAGAGCCTGACAGGAACAGCCCACACAGCCATGAAGGAATTATCCAATCTGATCAAAATAGCAATGGAAATATACAGGTAATGCTTACAGAAATACCATTCGCTTCCTGCTAGTTGAATTGTTGATTTTGGGGCCGGGGATTTAGCTCAGTGGTTCCGCCGCCTGCTTTGCAAGCACAAGGACCTGAGTTCGATCCCACGTACCAAAAAAAAAACCAAAAACTCAGAGTCAGAATTGTTGATTTTTTTGTTGAGTAAATAAATATTTTAGCAATTCCATCTCCTTCAAAACATATTAAACATCATTTACCAAAAAAGGAATTTATAATATATCCTAAACGTAATCTTTTTTTACTCTTCCAGAATGTTCCACATGGGAGTATTCCTTCATGTCAACTAGACAGCCAACTCCAGAAGAGAGGACTGACCCCAGCATCTGAAAGCTTAGCATCCACTTTGCTTCCTCCAGCTCCTGCTGGAAATAGTCACCCTCACCTTTTGTCCACCCCTTCTGCTTCCCAGAAGATGCCTAGATTTATCACACCTGCCAAAACACTTGGTCCTGGTTATGGTTTTCCTTTGCTTCAGTTTCAACCTAAACCTGAATTCAGGACCCTTCCTTTACATGTAGGAAGAGTTCCAAATGTTCCCTTCAGGCCTCTGGCCCAACTGAGAGAAGCTTGTGCATTAACTGGTTCCCTCCAGCCTCCTCCACAACAGAGAGTAGTACACACTATCTCAGGATCCCATTCGAATTCAAGCCAGTGCAGTACTGAAGTCATAAAAGAAGCAGCTGACCAGGAGAAATGGGCAGAAACTGTAATTACAGATATCCCTAAGCACATGAATGTGGATCAGTATGTTGGACAAGAAAACTTGACTCCTCAGCAGGACTCTTCCATATTTATAAAGCCAGAAAAACAATTCGGTGTTAAGCCAGGGCCTCTTGAGATACCTCCTCAGAATTCCTGTGGACTTCCCTTGTTGCACTTGGAATTTAAACATCCTTACATATTTTCATCAATCTCAAGAGCATCAGTTACAGTTCCATCAATACCTATGAGAACTGTAGCAGAAGAGAAAAAATACCCACAACTATTACTTTTTCCACGTCTATCGGAAAATATGGTAATGAATTTTTGTGCAGTGATTTAAAATGAGAGTTCTGCACTTTCCATACCATAAACACTATATGTTCAATGAAAGCTCTAGATGCACATTTCTTCTTTAAAAAATGCTTGAGTTATAGAAAATAACATACAATATTCGGATTTAAAGTAACAACTTTGGTTTTTAAAGATTTTTGGTGATAGATCATTAGGTCTTATGCCAGAATTTACTCAACTCTTTCTTAGAGATTCAGCTCAGAGAAGAAATAGTAAAATTACAGTTAACAGGTGCTATTGTGTGTGAGTGTGTGTGTGTGTGTGTGTGTGTGTGTGTGTGTGTGTATGTACACAGAGTGAACAAGTACACATATTGAGGTTCCCAGCAATTGTAGTATAACTGTCTTCAGATCCATTTCGGGTCTAAATTGTTAAATAGACCTGGACTGTCAGTGCTGTGCATGCAATAAAATAATAACCTGATAGACCCAACACATCCTCTTTAAATATATTACCTTTGAATCACAAAATTCAAATTGTTTATGTTCTGATTTTGTAGGTGAGTAGTGCCATTTTAGGGAGGTAATTGATAGTTCATTCTCCAATGAACTTTAAGATTTGAAGATGCTACTGGTAAGAAAAATGGTTATTCCTTAGAAAAAGTACTTACCATGCCTTCTTTACTTCTGGACTCATTCTGAGCAGAAAGGCTTAAAGAAGTGGAAAAGTCAGCACTTTTAGAAGAATTATTTTTATTTTATTTTTAAATTTTTATTAGTACATATTTGCTATATATATAGTGCTTACATTTATTATAGGGAATTTGTACCTATTATCTTAATTCTTTTTTTTTTCATTCCCCTCCCCTCCCTTCAGCCCTTTTTTCCCTCCCCATTTACAGAGTTTTGTTTCCATTTTTTCCCCCATTTTCTGTTTTTCTTTTCCCTTCTCTTCCCTCCCTTCCCTCTCCCCCTTCCCTTGTTCTCCTTCCCATTTGAACATGTTCTTCCTACTTCCCAATATCTATCCTCCATTTCACTCCTTCTTTACCCTTAGGGTTTCTCACAGAAGAGAAACAATGCAATATTTAAACTTCTGTGTCTTATTTATCTCACTCAAAAATTGTGGTCTCAAGGTGCATCCATTTACCTACTACAGATGACTCAGGTTTATCATTCTTTATGGCAGAGTGTTACTCCATTGTATATAAATACCACATTTTCTCTATCCATTCATCTGTTGATGGGCATATGAGCTGTTTCCAAGATTAGGTATTATAAATTGTGCTTCTATAAACATGGATATGCATATATCACTGTGGTATGATGCTTTTAACTCTTTTGGGAAGATGCCTAGAAGGGGAATAGTTAGGTCAAATGGAATCTCTTGTTTCACTTTTTGAGGAATCTCCATATTGATTTCCATAGTGGTTGTACCAGTTTACATTCCCACCAACAATAGAGAAGGGTTCCTTTTTCCCCACAGCCTCACCAGCATTTGTTATTGGTCGATTTCTTGATGATAAATATTCTTTTGGTAGTGAGATGGAATATCAGCGTTTTAATTTGCATTTCTTGAATGACCAGTGATGTTGATCAGTTTTTCTTTTTTTTTTTTTCTGTTTGTACTTCCTCATCTGAGAAGTATCTCTTCACTTTAGGATGTCCATTTTTAGATTGAGTCCTTGAATTTGGAGATTCTGATATTTTTGAGTTCTGTATATATTCTAGATATTAGTCCTTTGTCTGAGGAGTAGCTGGTAAAAATTTTTTTCCATCTGTGAGTTGTCTCTTTATTCTATTGGTGGTTTCTTTTGCTGTACAAAAGCTTTTTAACATGATAATATCCCCATTGTTGATTCTTTATATTTCCTGTGCAATTGGGGTTTTGTTCATAAAGTCTTTCCCTACACCTACATCTTCAAGAGTTTTACCTATTCTGTCTCCCAGCAGATTAAGTATTTATTTTTATATTTAGATCTTTGATCCATTTTGATTTTAGTTTAGTGCATGGTGAGAGATATGGGTCTGGCTTCAATTTTTGGTATGTGGAAAAGCATTTTTTCCAGCACCATTTATTAAAGACATGATCTTTCTTCCAGTGAAGGTGTTTGGCCCCTTTGTCAAAGATAAGGTAGCTGAGTTGTTTTTGTACCTTCTATTCTGTCCCACTGATCATCAGGTTTGGTTTTTTGCCAGTACCATGCTGTTTTTATCATGGTAGCTTTGTAGTATAACTTCTGGGGATTGTAATGCCCCCTGCCTTGCCCTTGTTGCCCAGATTTGCTTTTCCTATCCTGGGCCTCAAGAAGAATTATTTTTAAAAACTTTATTATGAAGAATAGTATAATGAACCCCCAAGTTCTCATCACCCTGCTTAGGCGTTATCAATGTATTGCAGATCTGTTTCATCCATAGCCTTCACGCCAGTGCCTTCTTCCTGTTTCAAATAACTGTAATATTTAAACATTATACAATTTTGTGTATGGCTTTGTTTATAATTGTAAGAAGGAAGTTTTTTTAAACATTGAAATGAAATTTAGTGGATAAGGACTTCTAGCTTAATTTCTGAAACAAGGTGACCCAATTGAGGGCTGGTGATGTAGTTCAGCAGTAAAGAGCTTACCCACCATTTACAAGGCCCTAAGTTCAGTCCACAGCAACCAAAACAAACAAGACCAAACAAAAATCACCTAGTTGAAATTTTCACCACTCTAAAATACTTAGTTCTTAATGATAGGTATACTTACTGTACCAGTCCAAGTTAATTTGTTATATTTGATTTGTTCTGAGTTTAATTTAAACATATTTTTCTCAAATTTTTAATATAATAGATATTTGAGTTTGTAAATTTTTAATCTTATGCTTTATTTCTTTCCTGTAGTACAAGAGACCACAGCTTATCCCACCTGAAAATCTCATTGCATTTAAACAAAGCCAACAAAGATTAACACATAATTTATTTGAACAAGGTGATTCTGGTCACCTTCAGCTTCTAAAGGTCAAAATGGAATCATCTGAAATGAGACAAGGAAGGAACAGTAAAAAAAGGCAAGTTCTAAAAGAAGTTTTATTTGATAATATCATGTATCAGGAAGGTCATTATTTACAGTCATAGCCATAAAGATGGAAGTCATGGTTTAACCTCCTAGCTTATATATACAATTGCATATTTTTCTTTGTTGAATGTCATGTATTTGAGAATGTCTCGTAATGAAGGAAATTCCTATATTGTGTATAAATATACTACTTTTGTATTTTATTAAAGAATTCTTTGTTATCTGTCATTTATAGGCTAGGGATTGTTTTTCAGGTTTCTGTGGTAGTACGAGCAACCATCTTTTGTAGCACAAATATTTGGTGTCATACCATTTTCCATGTACTGGTCAACACTTTGAGCTAATATTTCTTGTTATTTATCTTGCTGTATTTTCCAGACTCTTTATAATAAGCAGAATAGATGATGATATGAATTGTTTTGGGGCACTGGCCAATGTACATGTAAAAAGTAAGGCTGTGACTTCTAATGAAGAGCTTATTACAATGTTTTAACCATAATAAATGTTCAAGACACATACCAATTGGTCGATTATTATTGAGTCTAGAAAATATTTTTGTACTTTCACATTAATCAGTCTATAAAATCTATTACCAATATTCTTCCCAGAAATGGTTACTTCCTTCCATCCTTTTCAGGTATTTCCTCTGTCTTTCCTTTACTTTTTTGGCAACTCTTCCCTCTTTGCTGAGATTTCACTGATGTGAGTAAATGTGCTTAACTGTCTTCACATAAGCAAGTGGAGGTGTGTGATAGGATTTCTGGTACCAGCTTCAAATCTGCAGAAAAGAGAATTTGAAAATTACTTATATGCCTGTCGTGAGATTCCAATGACCAACATAGAATAGTTAGTTCAGTCATAGAGGAATTAGAAATAAATTTCATGGCTTTGACCCTGTTTGTTTTGTCTGTCTGTGTTTTGAGACAGTGTGCTGTGAAGCCCAGGCTGGCCCAGGACTTGCAATCCTCTTGCCTCAGCCTCCCAAGTGCTGGGATTACAGGCATGTTCCACCACACTTGGCTTCATTTCTTTGACTTTTTTGTTTATATTTGTTTGTATTCTATCAGAATATCTAATTTAATTAAATCCTATTGGAAATAATTAGCATACTTTTGATAACTCCCTTCATATAGCACGAATGAGAAAAATTAATATATAAAGAATAGACAGAGGGTCGGGGATTTAGCTCAGTGGTTCCGCTGCCTGCCTCACAAGCGCAAGGACTCGAGTTCAATCTCCAGTATCAAAAAAAAAAAGAAAAAAAAAAAATTTTCTACTACTGTTTTTAACAGGCAGAGAAGACGAGCTGAGAAAGAGCTACAAAGATCTGAGCAATCATGGAGAAAGCCAAGTGTGAGTATCTGTCCAAAGGAATCCTTCATTAATAATGATGACTCAGAAACTGTCATGAAACCCAAGGTACAAACAACTTTTCTTTCTTTCTTTTTTTTTTTGGTACTGGGGATTGAACTCGGGTCCTTGCACTTGTGCAGCAGGCGCTGAAACCACTGAGCTAAATCCCCGGCGGTACAAGCAACTTCTATAAATTCTTCCCTACTGTTCGATATTTATTTATGACTTGTCCAGTCTGATTGTCAGAAGCTTCAGGTTGTAATAGGAGAGTCTTTCCATCATTCAGTGTACAGATCCTGCATCCTCCCCCCACAGAACTGCACACACACAGTTGTGATTGTGAAAAACATTCCAGTGGCAAATCAAAAAGTGCAGCTTAGGGCCAGGGATTTAGCTCAGCATTCCACCACCTGCCTTGCAAGTTCAAGGTCCCGAGTTGGATCCCCGGTACCAAAAAAAAAAGTGCAGTTTAAGAGTGTCTGTGTGAATTTTTTAACATTTGAAGTTTGAAATCACTCCTGGCTTTTTTTCTCTGATATTTTAATACATGTATGATATGTGATTTAGGCTTTTTCCCTTATAGTTTCACCTATCTTTGGGATACTTCTAGGATTTCCACAGGTTTATGTTAACTTGTGAGTCAGGTGTTTTTAAATGCTTCTTCTAAATTTGGTGACTGTCTACTTAGTTACTTGGTTGACAGTAGATTAAATAAACAGACATAATTTTATCTATGTGGATCTTTAAAAGGTACCCTTTTGTTTTCTCGGTACCGGATATGGAACTCAGGACCTTGTGCTTGCCAGGCAGGTGTGGTGCTGTTGAGCCACATCCCTGACCCTAAAAGGCTCCCTTTTAAAGTCCTCAAGAATGCGTCTGGAGACACTAAGATGTTAAGTCCATGAAAGATTTTGACAGGGTAAAGGGAACATTTGAGTAACAAAGCTATTCTGCAGTGGAGGATTGCATGTAGTAACTTAGTAATTGTGTGTTAAATTGGAATGCTCTTTTTTAATTTTTTGACTTGTGAATTTCACATTACTTTAACAAAACAAAATAATTTTATAAGTAAATTTGCTGAGAATGGTAAGACTTGAACCTGTATCTACGAATCTAACAATCTTGATTGTAATTGAATATTTTTTTCCATAATAATAAATGTCTTGGAGTTAATCATAGATTGATTATTTGGAAATTCATTTAGGTACAAGAACATCGCAATTCTCAGCCTTTGGATAATTTCGACATTCCTTTTGGTAAGTATATGCATGATTAATCTAATGTTTTAAGTTCTGAGTTAAAATCGGTGTTCTAGAAATAAGAATAAAAATGACAGTGAGTTTTTTCATGTTATCTTTGACAAGATGTTTGTGTATTTTGATGTTTTATCCAATATGGCCCAAAGGCCAGATCTGTACAGTGGGCTCTCAAGTTATAACTGACCCAACATACAGACAACTTGGATTCCAGACAGACTGGAATTTTTGTTTTAATTTATGAACAAAGTCTTGAGTTATGATCCGAATTCCAGCCGTTTGTGAGATTTCGGATACAGATTTAACCCTTAAAGAGTTCTGGAAGGAACATTACAGCATCTTTCCTGTGTGGGGTGAAGTGAGAAATCCTGGGCCAGTGTCTCTCTAAGGACACTGAGATCTGCCTGTATACAGGAGAGAGATTTTGAAGGCTGTGTAGAGGAGCCTGAGCCTTCAGTTGACCAACTTGAGTTACAACCATCCCTAGCAGACGAATTGAATTCGTAAGTCAAGGGTCCACTGTACCATACTTCCTTATGTAGGTCCATTTGTATTGAAACATAACTGATCTATATTTGTCATGCCTTATGTATCTCTGCTTTCCACTGCAGCATGGTAGGGTACTTGCAGCAGAGACCATGTGACAGTTAAGCTTAACTGTCAACTTGTTTGGCTTGAAGGTTGCCTGGGGGATTAGTAAAACATCTCTTGGGTGTGTTTGGGTGGGTCATGGAAGCATGACCTTGGACATTCCTTTTTGATGCTATTTCCCTGCTCTGCCATTATGAACTGAGCAGCTTTCTTCTGCCCACCCTGCTGCCATGATGTTTCTGTCTTGGAGTCAGCCAGTCGTGGACTGAAACCTTGGAAACCATGGGCCAAATTAATCCTCTCCTTTAATTTGTATTTGTTGGGTATGTTTTTTTCTCAGCCAGGGGAAAGCTGACTAATACAGAAGATAAGGCCCTAGAATACTTACTATCTGGCCCTTTACAGAAAACATTTACTGACCCAGGCATTAGGACAGTGCAATAAATTAGAATCTCAAGTAAGATACAAGAAGTTTAAAAGGAAATTATGAAAGAATATACCTAGGGGAAAAAAAAGAATATGCCTAGAATTCAATTAATCATAGTAAATACATACATACTGCAATAAAGGAGTCATTTATAGATAGTAATTTGTATCTTTTCTTCAACTAGTCAGTTTATTTCTTGCTCCTTGAATTTATATACTCCCTAAGTATTACTCCTCAGTAACACCTCCCCAGTTTACTTAATCCTATGCTTGTCAGAACAGTCACGCTCATGACTTCAGCTCTTAAATATTTTGTTAGTACACAGTATACATACAGTCATTCATTTTTGTTTCTTTTACCTTAAATTAATTAATATGTCCACTTTTAAAATTAGCATCCTCTTGATAGTGGTATCAACCATTGTATTGATTGATCTAGATTTTTACCTTCAAAGCCACCTTTGATTTATTTCTTATCTCCATCCCCCTGAATTCACTTAGTCTTTATCTGGGTCCTCCCTTCCTCTCAAGGCCACTGACCTGCTTAGCTTCAGTCTTTCACTTTCTAATCTACCTACAGTTTGTTCCCACTCAGCTCCACCCCCCAATCTTAAAATCACTTTCTTTGGGCCGGGGATGTAGTTCAGTGGCACTGCGTCTGCCTGGCAAGTGCAAGGCCCTGAGTTTGATCCCTGGTTCCAAAACAAAACAAAACAAACAAACAAACAAAAAAATCCATTTTCTTTCTCACTCTTTATAACATTTTTTCACTCTGTTAAGGTAATACATGCTTACTGGAAAAAAGTTAGAAAATACAAACAAGGATCAAGAATAATTTTACAATTTACCATTCATCTTTCTATCTCAAGATAGCCAGTATTATTCTTTCAGGCTTTGTTTTATAAATATCACTACACCTATACCTGCAAATACATATACTTCTGCACTTGTTTACTTACTTGTTTTTACCTATTACAATAAACATCTTCCTGTATTGCTGGATATCCTCATCCAGTGTTAATCTGGTGGATGTTTGCTGTCTCATAGTTCTCTGATGCCAGCTGAGTGTTCTGCAGCTCAGCTCTCACTTACTGTTCGGAGTTAGCACAGACCTCACAGGTGAAGAAGCGCAATCCCTAAGAGTGCTTTACCTAGGAACAAGGTGCAAACAGGGTTCCCAGGGTACCCACATTGCTGCCTGGCTGACTGCAGATTCAGGGATTCCTCTGACAGCACTAATCAACCCCACCTCCTCTCACAGCCCTGTTCATTAATTCATTAGAACAATTCACAGGACTTTGCAAAGTGTTTTACTTACATTCACAGTGTTATTTAAAATGAAGGATACAATTCAGAAACAGCCATGTAGAAGTTCCCATCCCCTCTCTAGGTGAGCAGGTCCATGTGTCCACCAACCTGAGGACCCCTCCCCCCCTTAGCTATTTGTTTCAGAATTCTTATTAAAGTTTCAGTACATAGGCAGGATGGATTAAATTGTTGGTCATTATGATTGAATTTAATTTCCAGCCCCCTTCCCTCCTCAGAGGTGGGAGGTAGGCTAGGTGAGCAAGGGGATAATAGTTCTAATCCTCTAACCAAGTGTTTGGTTCTCCTGGTGCCCACCCCCATCCTGAAGCTATCTAGGAACCTGCCAAGGGTCACCTCCTTAGCGTGAACACAGGTATGATGAAGAGGAGCTTGTTATGAATAATAAGATACTCCTCACACTCAGGAAATTTGTAGGGTTTAAGAAACTGTCCCTAAAAAGACAAGTTTTTTGTTATACCACAGTTTATAATGATATTCTGTTATCTACCTAATCTCTCTGATCATCTCCAAGGAAAATCCAAATGTAAACCCAAACTGCCATAATATACTTTGGACTTGGATTGTACTTCCTACTGAACTTTTCTGCTGTGGTAAAAATTACCTTGAGTTCAGAATGTGAAGTCTAAATTCATTGCCCCCATCCCCAAATAGGTTTCTTTCCTATGGTCTCTATCTCCATTTGTGTCAATGATACCCTAACCAAAAAACCATTAGTCTGAATTCCACCTTTCTCCTTACCCCCTCTCATCTAGTCAACAGCCAGTTTTTGTCTCTTTTACTCATTTGAAATTCCTAAATTTATCCTCCAATTATTTAAACTACTGCAACAGCCATATCTAACTGATAGCCTTACTTCAGTTACATCCACTCAAATCTGTTTTCCACAAGGCAGCCGTTTGGATTTTCTAGAACAGCAATCTGACCATATCACTTCTTTAGCAACTTCTACTGGACCTTCCATTTTCATTAACCAAGAGGATGTCTAGCTTTTTAGGCTAAACAGAGTCCTCCACAATTTTGGTTTTCACTGAGATTCAGTTTATAAACCACTTCATGCAGAACACTTTGGTAACATCCTAACCCTTTCCTTTACCCCTCTTGAGTTACTGTGCTTCTGGGCTCCCAGTAACACGTTGGCTGCTTAATGAATGCATATAATGTTTTGTTATATTTAAGAAATGCTACAAGATGATGTTAATACTTCAGCTGGATTGCATTTCATGGCCTCTGTACAAAAGAAAGCCATAGGAAGTCAAGATGCAAGTACAAATACAGAGCCAGGTAAATTTTTTTTTAATTCACAAATTTGACATATTTAAAATATCTAGACTTTTTCTTTAAGGCAATGATTTAAAGAGAACTTTAAATTACATGATAGTTGTGATATTTCCCAAACCAGGGGAAATTAGTATTTGAATTTTTGGTAAGTAAACAAAATTTTTGTTCAGAACTGACATGGATTACATCCCAAGTCAGTAGATATAATGTTTTCAGTTGGAGTCTCTGGGCCACTAGTTGCCTTCACTGAAAACATGTACCTAAGGCTGAGGGGTTGGGGTTAGTAAAATTTCATCAAGTTTCTTTTCCTTGTGTACAGAACCTTTTAAATGCTTTTTAAACCCCCTCTAATTATATCTTATTTATAAAATATTTATTGACATTATTTTTGAATGATCACTGTAGACATTTTGGATAATAACAAGCTATGGCAAAGATGAAAATTAACCAGAATCATACCACTTAGCATAACACTTTGAGATTGTTTTGTTTTTTAGTCATTTGTATATTTTATGTAGTTAGGTAGAGTAATAGAAGGGAGAGTTGTCTTCTCTGACTGTCAAACTTTCATCAACTAGATATCTAGTCTTCCTTTAGCATTTCCAGAGAGTTTAACCCTCATGAGTCCCAGTGTTGTTTTTTTTCCCACATACCTTGAGACACTCTTAATAGAGTATATCTTTAGCATATTATTTCATTGTATTATATTTGCATCACAGTATGTTTGCTGCACTACTGAAGGTAATTCATGTCTATGTTCAATATTATTGCATAGTACATGCATACTAATGAATAAAAGGAGTGTTAATTATGAAATGATATTTAAAAGACTTTATAGTTTATAGGAATCCTTGATGTGTTATTACTTAGGTATTTAAGAGTTACTTGATGATGTTTGGAAAAATTAGATGGGCAGGGCACCATTTTCCATTTGCAATACTGCACTGAAGTTTCCTAGTATATGAAAATTCACCCACTCCTCCCAGCATATTTTCAGGAGTGGATGAGATTTGGAGAACAAGTGATACTTGTATTTTATATCCTTTTTGTTTCACTTTGATTTCTACTCATTTCCTTGTGTCATCCAAAAATTATTTTATAAGAATATTCCTTTTTCTAGCTATGCCATAAAATATTTAACCAGTTTCTTATTACTGAATGCACTAGACAGTTTCCAGTTTTTTCTGCTGTATAAGTAATGGTTTGGTGAGTGTCTTCCTGCATAAGGACCTTTTTGGGGAGTCATTACTGAGTTAGCTAACTTTTTTTACTCTGCCCATTTGGTAAATTTTAAAAAGGCATTATTTTCGAGGTTTTTTTCCTGGGTGAGGTTAAGTCTGTGTAAAAGATTATTTGATGTAAGTGATGAGTGTTTATTTGAGAAACATTCTTTAAATGTTCTTACCTGAGGATGTCTTTGAGAGAGCCTTGTAGGCCCTTTGCCTTGCTGCTGTGTAGTCTAAAGTTGGCAATGTTTACCAAGATTCATCCAGGTGAATCCCTGGGACATCTGAAATTATATTAATTATTTAAAATTAAATTGTTAAGCTGTTAATCTACTTTCCTAACACCTGTCATACATAATGTCTATGTACACATAATTTTTCTGTGTTTGTGAGAATTTTTTTGCTTCAAATTTTCTAATTTACTACAAGATAACAAAGCTGCTTCTCAAGAAGTTATCTCTGAAAGTGGCAAAAATCAACAAATCATTTCTTCTGTCCTAGGTGA